GGAAGAACAGACTACATAACGGGAAGAACAGACTGCATAACAGGAAGAACAGACTACATAACGGGAAGAACAGACTACATAACAGGAAGAACAGACTACATAACAGGAAGAACAGACTGCATAACAGGAAGAACAGACTGCATAACAGGAAGAACAGACTGCATAACAGGAAGAACAGACTGCATAACAGGAAGAACAGACTGCATAACAGGAAGAACAGACAGGATAATGAGAATAACAAATAACATACTGGGGAAGAACATGCAAGCACACGAGGAAGAACAGACCCACAAGCAATTGTGGAGAAGAACTCACAACTACTTGTGAAGAACAAACAAGCACAATAGGAAGAACAGAATAATGTCTAAATCAGTAAGAAGAGGAAAAACAAATAAACAGTGCCCTCCCTAGGTCAGTGTCCCCCTAGGTCAGTGTCCCCCTAGGTCAGTGTCCCTAGGTCAGTGTCCCCCCTAGGTCAGTGTCCCCCCTAGGTCAGTGTCCCTCAGTCCCCTAGGTCAGTGTCCCCCTAGGTCAGTGCCCCCCTAGGTCAGTGTCCCCCTAGGTCAGTGTCCCCCTAGGTCAGTGTCCCCTAGGTCAGTGTCCCCTAGGTCAGTGTCCCTAGGTCAGTGTCCCCCCTAGGTCAGTGTCCCCTAGGTCAGTGTCCCCTAGGTCAGTGTCCCCCTAGGTCAGTGTCCCCCTAGGTCAGTGTCCCCTAGGTCAGTGTCCCCTAGGTCAGTGTCCCCCCTAGGTCAGTGTCCCCCCTAGGTCAGTCTCCCTAGGTCAGTGTCTCCCTAGGTCAGTGTCCCCTAGGTCAGTGTCCCCCCTAGGTCAGTGTCCCCTAGGTCAGTGTCCCCCTAGGTCAGTGTCCCCCTAGGTCAGTGTCCCCCTAGGTCAGTGTCCCCTAGGTCAGTGTCCCCCTAGGTCAGTGTCCCCTAGGTCAGTGCCCCCCTAGGTCAGTGTCCCCTAGGTCAGTGTCCCTAGATCAGTGTCCCCCCTAGGTCAGTGTCCCCTAGGTCATTGCACTAGGGGGTACTGACCTAGGGGGTACTGGCCTAGGGGACACTGACCTAGGGGGTACTGGCATAGGGGTACACTGAACTAGGGGACACTGACCTAGGGGGACACTGACCTAGGGGGACACTGACCTAGGGGAACACTGACCTAGGGAGCACTGACCTAGCGGAACACTGACCCAGGGTGCACTGACCTAGGGAGCACTGACCTAGGGGAACACTGACCCAGGGGGCACTGACCTAGGGGGACACTGACCTAGGGGGACACTGACCTAGGGGGCACTGACCTAGGGGGACACTGACCTAGGGAGACACTGACCTAGGGGGACACTGACCTAGGGGACACTGACCTAGGAGACACTGACCCAGGGGGCACTGACCTAGGGGGGTACTGACCTAGTGGACACTGACCTAGGGGGACACTGACCTAGTGGACACTGACCTAGGGGGGCACTGATCTAGGGGACACTGACCTAGGGGGGCACTGACCTAAGAAGACACTGACCTAGGGGGGCACTGACCTAAGAAGACACTGACCTAGGAGAGCACTGACCTAGGGGGACACTGACCTAGGGGGACACTGACCTAGGGGGACACTGACCTAGGGGGACACTGACCTAGGGGGACACTGACCTAGTGGACACTGACCTAGGGGGACACTGACCTAGGGGACACTGACCTAGGGCGGCACTGACCTAGGGGGACACTGACCTAGTGGACACTGACCTAGGGGGCACTGACCTAGGGGCACACTGACCTAGGGGGACACTGACCTAGGGGGACGCTGACCTAGGGGGACGCTGACCTAGGGGGACACTGACCTAGGGGGCACTGACTAAGGGAGTACTGACCTAGGGGGACACTGACCTAGTGGACACTGACCTAGGGGGGCACTGACCTAGGGGGACACTGACCTAGGGGGACACTGACCTAGGGGGACACTGACCTAGGGGGCACTGACCAAGGGAGTACTGACCTAGGGGGCACTGACCTAGGGGACACTGACCTAGGGGACACTGACCTAGGGGGTACTGGCCTAGGGGACACTGACCTAGGGGGGCACTGACCTAGGGGGACACTGACCTAGGGGGACACTGACCTAGGGGGACACTGACCTAGGGGGACACTGACCTAGGGGGACACTGACCTAGGGGGACACTGACCTAGGGGGACACTGACCTAGGGGGACACTGACCTAGGGGGACACTGACCTAGGGGGCACTGACCAAGGGAGTACTGACCTAGGGGGCACTGACCTAGGGAACACTGACCTAGGGAACACGGACCTAGGGGACACTGACCTAGGGGGACACTGACCTAGTGGACACTGACCTAGGGGGACACTGACCTAGGGGGGCACTGACCTAGGGGACACTGATCTAGGGGGACACTGACCTAGGGGGACGCTGACCTAGGGGGACGCTGACCTAGGGGGACGCTGACCTAGGGGGACGCTGACCTAGGGGGACGCTGACCTAGGGGGACGCTGACCTAGGGGGACGCTGACCTAGGGGGACGCTGACCTAGGGGGACACTGACCTAGGGGGACACTGACCTAGGGGGACACTGACCTAGGGGGACACTGACCTAGGGGACACTGACCTAGAGAGCACTGACCTAGGGGGGCACTGACCTAGGGGGACACTGACCTAGGGGGACACTGACCTAGGGGGACACTGACCTAGGGGGGCACTGACCTAGAGAGCACTGACCTAGGGGACACTGACCTAGGGGACACTGACCTAGGGGGACACTGACTTAGGGGGACACTGACCTAGGGGGACACTGACCTAGGGGGACACTGACCTAGGGGGACACTGACCTAGGGGGACACTGACCTAGGGGGACACTGACCTAGAGAGCACTGACCTAGGGGACACTGACCTAGGGGGACACTGACCTAGGGGGACACTGACCTAGGGGGACACTGACCTAGAGAGCACTGACGTAGGGGACACTGACGTAGGGGACACTGACCTAGGGGACACTGACCTAGGGGGTACTGGCCTAGGGGACACTGACCTAGGGGACACTGACCTAGGGGACACTGACCTAGGGGACACTGACCTAGGGGGTACTGGCCTAGGGGACACTGACCTAGGGGACACTGACCTAGGGGACACTGGCCTAGGGGGTACTGGCCTAGGGGACACTGACCTAGGGGACACTGACCTAGGGGGACACTGACCTAGGGGGGCACTGACCTAGGGGACACTGACCTAAGGGGCACTGACCTATGGGACACTGACCTAAGGGGCACTGACCTAGGGGACACTGACCTAGGGGGACACTGACCTAGAGAGACACTGACCTAGAGAGCACTGACCTAGGGGACACTGACCTAGGGGGACACTGACCTAGGGGGACACTGACCTAGGGGACACTGACCTAGGGGGACACTGACCTAGGGGGACACTGACCTAGGGGGGCACTGACCTAGGGGGACACTGACCTAGGGGGACACTGACCTAGGGGGACACTGACCTAGGGGGACACTGACCTAGAGAGCACTGACCTAGGGGACACTGACCTAGGGGGTACAGGCCTAGGGGACACTGACCTAGGGGACACTGACCTAGGGGGACACTGACCTAGGGGGGTACTGGCCTAGGGGACACTGACCTAGGGGACACTGACCTAGGGGGGCACTGACCTAGGGGGACACTGACCTAGGGGGACACTGACCTAGGGGACACTGACCTAGGGGGACACTGACCTAGGGGACACTGACCTAGGGGGACACTGACCTAGGGGGACACTGACCTAGAGAGCACTGACCTAGGGGACACTGACCTAGGGGGTACTGGCCTAGGGGACACTGACCTAGGGAACACTGACCTAGGGGGGCACTGACCTAGGGGGACACTGACCTAAGGGGTACTGGCCTAGGGGACACTGACCTAGGGGACACTGACCTAGGGGGGCACTGACCTAGGGGGGCACTGACCTAGGGGGGCACTGACCTAGGGGGACACTGACCTAGGGGGACACTGACCTAGGGGGACACTGACCTAGGGGACACTGACCTAGGGGGACACTGACCTAGGGGGGCACTGACCTAGGGGGGACACTGACCTAGGGGACACTGACCTAGGGGGCACTGACCTAGGGGGCACTGACCTAGGGGGACACTGACCTAGGGGGACACTGACCTAGGGGGACACTGACCTAGGGGGGACACTGACCTAGGGGGACACTGACCTAGGGGGACACTGACCTAGGGGGGCACTGACCTAGGGGGGCACTGACCTAGGGGGGCACTGACCTAGGGGGACACTGACCTAGGGGGACACTGACCTAGGGGGACACTGACCTAGGGGGGCACTGACCTAGGGGGGCACTGACCTAGGGGGGACACTGACCTAGGGGACACTGACCTAGGGGGCACTGACCTAGGGGGACACTGACCTAGGGGGGCACTGACCTAGGGGGACACTGACCTAGGGGGGCACTGACCTAGGGGGACACTGACCTAGGGGGACACTGACCTAGGGGACACTGACCTAGGGGGGCACTGACCTAGGGGGACACTGACCTAGGGGGACACTGACCTAGGGGGACACTGACCTAGGGGGGCACTGACCTAGGGGCACCGACCTAGGGGCACTGACCTAGAGAGCACTGACCTAGGGGGGCACTGGCCTAGGGGGCACTGACCTAGGGGACACTGACCTAGGGGACACTGACCTAGGGGGACACTGACCTAGGGGCACTGACCTAGTGGCACTGACCTAGGGGCACTGACCTAGGGGCACTGACCAAAAGGCACTTACCTAAGGGATACTGACCTAGGAGGCACTGACCTAACGACACTGACCTAGGGGGCACTGACCTAGAGATCACTCACCGAATGGCACTGGTATAGGGGCACTGATTTAGGGGCACTGATGTAGGTGCACTGACCTAGGGGACACTGACCAAATGACACTGACCTAATGACACTAACCTAAGGAACACTGACCTAATAACACTGACTGAAGTACTTACATAAGGCCGGCGCAGCTCCGCGCAGAGTAGCCCACTGCGCTCCTCCCGGCATTAACTAACACCAAGGGAAAGAGAAATTGGTGTTAAAAATCCCATCCTGACCACCATTTGGTAATTAACACAACATAACAAATAAACCACAGTGCTGCAGGAGGCCTGTGTTATAAGTATGAGTCAATGGAGTTTGAGCCAATATCTCGCCTACGCTTGAAACAATTCCCTCCCCCCTTACAGGCTATTGTATGAACCCGTTAATTATGATTTGTTTTGGAGATGATAATGACTTGAAGTCTGTTTTGGAGATGATAATGACTTGATGGCTACAGAGAGTGCCACGTGGGTGCCATTGTACACAGAAAGTGCCACGTGGGTGCCATTGTACACAGCGCCACGTGGGTGCCATTGTACACAGAAAGCGCCACGTGGGTGCCATTGTACACAGAAAGTGCCACGTGGGTGCCACTGTACACTTACCCGCGCCAAACAAACTGGGAATATCTGCAGCGAGAAAGAAAGGTGTAATTAGTATTTGCTTGGGGACAGGAGTGAGTTGTTTAGTTGTCTGAATACGTTGTGTGAGTGTTGTTAGTGGCAGGTTTAGCTTGTGGGAAATTGGTTACTGCTATAACTGCTTTTTTCTGGTGGAATGAGGTTGTCTCATATAAGGGGATATATGACTCTGAGTTAACATATGCTTAAATAAGTGTTATTATTTAAGAAAACAAAAAACAGGGGAACTCCATTGCCTTTGGGTCATACTTACTGTGTGTGCATGCATCCAAACACACGCGCACACGCACGCACACACGCACACACACACACACACACACATATAAGAAAATTCACCTTCGCAAATAGAGTGGTAGACGGTTGGAACAAGTTAAGTGAGAAGGTGGTGGAGGCCAAGACCGTCAGTAGTTTCAAAGCGTTATATGACAACGAGTGCTGGGAAGACGGGACACCACGAGCGTAGCTCTCATCCTGTAACTACACTTAGGTAATTACACTTAGGTAATTACACACACACACACACACACACACACACACACACACACACACCAAACTGGAAAAGGTTCAAAGGTTTGCCACCAGACTAGTACCCGAGCTGAGAGGTATGAGCTACGAGGAGAGGCTACGGGAATTAAACCTCACTTCGTTGGAAGACAGAAGAGTTAGGGGGGGACATGATCACCACATTCAAGATTCTCAAGGGAATTGATAGGGTAGATAAAGATAGGCTATTTAACACAAGGGGCACACGCACTAGGGGACACAGGTGGAAACTGAGTGCCCCAAATGAGCCACAGAGATATTAGAAAGAACTTTTTTAGTGTCAGAGTGGTTGACAAATGGAATGCATTAGGAAGTGATGTGGTGGAGGCTGACTCCATACACAGTTTCAAGTGTAGATATGATAGAGTCCAATAGGCTCAGGAACCTGTACACCAGTTGATTGACGGTTGAGAGGCGGGACCAAAAAGCCAGAGCTCAACCCCTGCAAGCACAATTAGGTGAGTACACACACGCACACAGGCAGAAGTAAAAGGGAAGGTGCTCCAGTGGATAAGGGAGTACTTAAGCAACAGGAAACAGTGAGTAACGGTGAGGGGGGGGGGGGTGGAGACATCAGAGTGGCGAGACGTCACCAGCGGAGTCCCACAGGGCTCTGTACTTGGACCCATCCTGTTTCTAATATATGTAAACGATCTTCCGGAGGGTAGAGACTCGTTCCTCTCAATGTTTGCTGATGATGCAAAAATTATGAGAAAAATCAAGACGGATGAAGACAGACAGAGACTACAGGACGACCTGGACAAATTGGAGGAATGGTCTAGAAAATGGCTGCTAAAGTTCATCTCAGGAAAGTGTAAGGTAATGAAATTAGGCGAAGGGAGCAAGAGGCTGAACACAAGGTATCATCTGGGAGGTGAAATCCTGTAAGAGTCAAATAGAGAGAAAGATCTGGGGGTTGATATCACACCGAACCTGTCCCCAGAGGCCCACATCAAAAGGATATCATCAGTGGCATATGCTAGACTGGCCAACATAAGAACTGCCTTTAGAAACTTGTGTAAGGAATCGTTCAGGACCCTGTATACCACTTATGTCAGACCAATCCTAGAATATGCAGCTCCAGCCTAGAGTCCATACCTAGTTAAACGCAAGACAAAGTTAGAGAAGATTCTGCGGTATGCCACCAGACTCATCCCGGAACTGAGAGGAATGAGCTACGAGGAAAGGATAAAAGAGCTGAACCTCACAACCCTGGAAAACAGAAGAGTAAGGGGAGACATGATAACCACCTACAAAATTCTCAGGGGAATTGACAGGGTGGACAAAGACAAACTCTTCAGCACGGGTGGAACACGAACAAGGGGACACAGGTGGAAACTTAGTACCCAGATGAGCCACAGAGACGTTAGAAAGATTTTTTCAGTGTCAGAGTAGTTAATAAATGGAATGCACTAGGAAGTGATGTGGTGGAGGCTGACTCCATACACAGTTTCAAATGTACATATGATAGAGCCCAGTAGGCTCAGGAATCTATACACCAGTTGATTGACAGTTGAGAGGCGGGACCAAAGAGTCAAAGCTCAACCCCCGCAAGCACAATTAGGTGAGTAAAATTAGGTGAGTACACACGCACACACACACACACACACACGCACACACGCATACACACACACGCACACACGCATACACACACACACACACGCACACACGCATACACACACGCACACACACACGCACACGCACACACAAGCTCTCTCCAGGAGAGAAAGTTTTTTTTCTGGATCGTCTCTCTTAATAAATATTATCAGTATAATAAAGTTGCTGTTGATGTGACAAGAGATTTGGAAAATAAGTTAAACAAAATAGAATTAATATCAAAAGTTACCAACAGTATACAACAAATGTATTCATACATGTGACACAATATATACATACAAGAAATATGCTTCAGCAAATATATAGTTGATGCGTACATTTAATATTATTGCATAAATTTAATGAAAAATATAATATTTGCAATATTTAGACTAGTGATTGCACCATAGATATATCCATCCCAGACAAATTATCCTAAATAAACGATGCTTATACACTATTGTATTTTTGTGCTGTGAATACAATTAAGCAATCATTTTACATGTTAAAGGTATATAATAAAACTGACTTAAAATTTCATTTTTGATATATTGTGTTCCACACTAAAGTTCCAATTATATGAGCCATAACTTCCCCCTCATCCCCCATTATATGTTCAAAGGTAATGGGGAACTTGCAAAGATGGGAGCACGAGAAACTTTTGCCCATAATTAAAACAAAAGTGAATTTAGACTCTAAATCTCTAAAGCTTCAACTAGGAGCTAAACAAAATACTATCTACCTCTTCAAGGATCAAATACGTCTCCTTAGTCAACAACGTCTTGACGCCGGGTGCGTTAATGTACGTCAGCGGGTACAAACATTGTCTAGTAACGATATAACCAAGAGAGATCCAACGTTACCATCGTGGATTCGTTGTTACAATAACAGCGTTAGTTTAGATTTCCCGGGCAGGAGGAGGAGGAGACGCCGTCCAATGGGGGGGAAAGAGATGCAGTGAGGAAACATCTCACTTAGAGAGATGTTTATAAGTAGAAGTATGAGGACACAGAAGAACATCTTAGTGAACACTTAGATGAACACTTAGGGCCAATGTTGTGTGTTCAAAGTCAAAGATTTTGCTTCGTTTCACTTAAAGATATTGTGTGTTCAAAGTCAAAGAGCTAAACAAAGATTTGACTCTTTGGGGTCCTTATGTGAGCAAGACGTTGGGATAAAAAAAAGGAATTGTTATGAAAGACTTGTCATTTCTCACTTCTTGCAGGGTCGGCGTTCGATCCCCGATGGATCAAGTGGGTGGACACCGTTTCTTCCCTCCGTCCTCATCTTTCTTCAAGAGTGTAGTATGGATATGGTCATACTGACTTAGCGCTTTCTCCCGTAAACTACCCGGGCTAAGAACAAAGGTAAGTCAGTCTTGCTTTGTGACTGTTTTGCAACCTTTGGAATCCTTTCGAGGCCAGAGATTCCAAAGGTTCACTGTTGATTCAGTTGCCAAAGTTGGCTTCTTCTGTTGAGACGCTCAAGTTTGGCCACGAATGGACTCTCTAGCGGGATAACGATTGGGCACTCAACTCAGATATATTATCCAGGGGTTAAACTAGCATGTTCTTGACTGGTTATCGTAATCTACAGACCTCAGTTCAATAGAATATTTGTGGTACGATTGACTGGTCGGGTCAGCGATGACCATGCCTCTTGCAGGGCCGGAGTTCGACCCTCGGACGTTACAAGTGGTTGGGCACCATTGCTTTTCTCTCTTCTACCTCCAGATCTTTGTTCTCATATCCCGACCAAGTTATAATAATTCTGGCTCAGCGGTTTCTCCTCGTTAAATGTAAATAGTTTGGGATATGAACCACTGAAAGCAGTTACCAGGAGAGTCATTAAATCTCCAGACGCCTGAGACAAGTCTGAAACTCTTCAAGAAAGCAGTTGTAAACACCTCGTCTATATGCTTAAAAAAGAAATATGGACTACTGGAATGTGAATAAACTTGAAGATTTCACATTAAGAATAATTTTTAATAATTTTTAGGTTCATGTTTTTTACTGTCATCCAGCACTAAGTATAACAACTACTCATATATGTATTTTTTTTTAAGCACAAAATACTGAATTTACTTTTGGTTAGCAAACCAAAGGTTTTGGTTAGCTACACTGACTCAAAGGAGGACAATGGCCATTACCTACGACAACCTTGTTGATGTTAACAGTTAACATAGTTGGACCAATACTATTTCCATAGCCGCCTTCTGGCGAATCAGCGACGCCCTAACGCTGAAGGAAGGGAAAACGGGAGATGTGTGGAATGGGGAGTAGAAATGAATGTGGGAGAGGAGGAAAAGTTCAGGGAATGAAATAGGGAAGGTATACGAGAAATAGGCAGGAAAGGTGTGTGTGAGAGAGAGACGCTCACACACACAGTCTTTTCAGGCAAGGCCATAGAAGACACATGAGAGATTGAACTTACCAAAGAAACTATTGGTTGTGGTAGGCACATTTTGTGACATATTGGACCAGCGTCGAGGGGACTCGCTGGCCCTCGTGGAGGTGGCCACTGTGGTGGTGGTGGTGGTGGTAGTGGTGATGATGGGCAGATCTGAGGACACACAAGTACCATTTTTTGTTAATTGGTTTCCAGTTAAAGACATTAACATTGTAGATTAGAGTTATTTGCACTGGGATAAAGGAGGAAGATGAGAAGAAAATACTTTATGATTATAAGTTGGTTACTAGCAACTTTATATATATATATATATATATATATATATATATATATATATATATATATATATATATATATATATATATATATATATATATATATATATATATATATATATATATATATCACATAAATGCCTAGCCTCAAGCTTAAGATAATCTAGCTTTACCACGTGGATATCTCATGGTAATATCTACTATCTCGTGGTAATATCTACTATCTCATGGTAATATCTACTATCTCAGGGTAATATCTACCATATCATGATAATATCTACTAAAATGTTTATATTAGATTTGACATGAAGATACATACATGTTAGTGATTTTGTGAAGTTGAAATAAGTGTTGAAAGGAAATTCTGTTAACGCTAAAAGCGATAGAACTAAATCACAGAAATGTCATATACATTTTTTTACCTGTATTTACCTGAGATACACTAATTCTCTAGTGGTCTTGAAGGAGACTGAAAGCTGTACGGCTCGTCAAATGTTTTTCTGGTCAGTATAAGCCAGATGTGTGTGTGTCTGGTCCCTATAAGTCAGATGTATCTCTTCGATTAGTGTAAGTCAGCTGTGTTTCCGTGGTCAGTGAAACTGGTTGTGGTCCTACGGTTATTTTAAGTCAGTTGTGTAGCTATGGGCACTGTAAGCCAGTTGTGTCTTTCTGATCCCTATAAGTCATATGTGTTTCTATGGGCACTGTAAGCCAGTTGTGTTTTTGTGTGGTTATTGCCAGATTGCGGAGTCTCTTTCTCTGTCTCTCTATCACTGTCTCTCTGTGTCTCTGTCTCTCTCTCTCTCTCTCTCTCTCTGTCTCTCTCTCTCTGTCTCTCTATCACTGTCTCTCTGTCTCTCTGTCTCTCTCTCTCTCTCTCTCTCTCTCTCTCTCTCTCTCTCTCTCTCTCTCTCTCTCTCTCTCTCTCTCTCTCTCTCTCTCTCTCTCTCTCTCTCTCTCTCTCTCTCTCTCTCTCTCTCTCTCTCTCTCTCTCTCTCTCTCTCTCTCTCTCTCTCTCTCTCTCTCTCTCTCTCTCTCTCTCTCTCTCTCTCTCTCTCTCTCTCTCTCTCTGTCTCTCTCTCTCTGTCTCTCTCTCTCTCTCTCTCTCTCTCTCTCTCTCTCTCTCCTCTGTCTCTCTCTCTCTGTCTCTCTCTCTCTCTCTCTCTCTCTCTCTCTCTCTCTCTCGCTCTCTCTCTCTCTCTCTCTCTCTCTCTCTCTCTCTCTCTGTCTCTCTCTCTCTCTCTCTCTCTCTCTCTCTCTCTCTCTCTCTCTCTCTCTCTCTCTCTCTCTCTCTCTCTCTCTCTCTCTCTCGCCCCCCCCCCCTAGTCACTGTCCACCTGACATGCTGAGTTATCAAGTCCACTCAGAACCGGTCCGCTATTCCTCCCACTCCCAAAATTACAGGAAAACGGTGAAAAGGGAAGTTTTTCCTGCCTTTTCCAGGAGAATAGTTCGCCCGGCGGCAGCTCTGAGAGAGAGAGCAGACGCCCTCCCAACTTGGGCCCTTTGACAAAGATCGGATACCTCGAACTTGTACAACAAATGGGGGAACTTTTTGGATTGAAGATGCGTTCTTTCAGCTTACTCTTAGCCATTACCCTTGGCTTCCATTTTTCGTCTCAGCGTCCCCCTTCACTCCCCTTTTCTTAGAGCTGAGGGTTGAGACGTCACCATTGGCTTTTTAATTTTGTCTTACACCCTCAGTCCTCTTCTGTAAGCTTCAATTCTCAGCCCTAAGCCTCAGCCCTAAGCCTCAGTCTTAATCCTCAGACCTAAGCCTCAGTCCTAACCCTCAGATCTAACCCTCAGATCTAACCCTCAGACCTAACCCTCAGCCCTAACCTTCAGCCCTAACCCTCAGACCTAACCCTCAGACCTAATCCTCAGACCTAACCCTCAGCCCTACCCCTCAGCCTTAACCTTCAGCCCTAATCCTCAGACGTAACCCTCATTTCCCCCCCCCCCTCACCCTGGCCCTAAGCCCCCCCCATCCATATTTCCTCCCCTCCCCCCCCCCAATCTCTGAACCATTTACTATGTAATGCTAAAGACGTGGCCTTTAGGAAACAAGCTAAGGCAGTCTTTTGACTACTTTGTACTACCTACGTAATACCAATGCGAAAATATACAGCGATGGCATGATGTCTCCACACGAAGAACGAGACACGAGTAGGGTCAGAGGTTTAGGACAAAATACGAAAAACGCCCAAGAACGAGAGAAGTGTCATGATCGAGACGTACAAAATACTTATGATGATTACCCTGGAATAAAGTTCGAGTTCTTGGTACAGCTGAAGTATAGGACATGGTTGGAAACTAGTGACGTAGATGAGTTGTAGGGGAGGGGGACACCCAGGTGAGTTCTAAATACGTCTTATAGCGTAGTCTTAACCAGGCCTTGTCTTTAGCAATCAAGTCCTTTTATGCCGGTCCAGACCTGACGCCATTGTTCCCTGGCGATCATATTGCCTCAGGCGTCTCTCACTCCTCGGGCACCAGCTCACATGCGACACTGAGAGTTGAATCTACATATAGTTTCCTGCCGCCACCCTCCCGGTCCCTTGTTCAGGCTGCTCTTCCCAGCCTCCTTGATTGCCAGCGATCCCCAGAGGG